CACCAGCTCCGTTGCCCTTCTCTGGACACGCTCGAGTCATTCAATGTCCTTTTTGTAGTGAGGGGCCCAAAACTGAACACAGGAATCGAGGGGCGGCCTCACCAGTGCCGAGTACAGGGCTCAGATCCCTTCCCTGTCCCTGCTGGCCACGCTATTGCTGACACAAGCCAGGATGCCATTGGCCTTCTTGGCCCCCTGGGCACACGGCTGGCTCCTGTTCAGCCGGCTGTCAATCAACACCCCCAGGTCCCTCTCTGACTGGCAGCTCTCCAGCCACTCCTGCCCAAGCCTGTAGTGCTGCTGGGGGTTCTTTTAATAGTCATTTAATCTCATTCAAGTTTAAATATCTCACCTAGGTATCTAGATGAATCATTCTCCTATGCATTCTTCTGTATAAACAATGGTGTGGGAGAGGTACCTCCAGATGGCAATTCTTGCTAAAATGGATGTCTTAGGTGAGGTAAATTGCCGTCCAGAATCATCTGTTACCCTATACCATTCTGGATATAGTAAACTCCAGCCAGTTTCCAAAGAATAGCTAACTGTTTCTTCTAGGAAGGTCAGTTTAGTCTGATTTCTACAGAGCTGCTGCATACAGAAAAACATTTCACTATACTAGAGCCATAAAGAGGGAACCAGCATTACTCACTGTCCACAGGATGTCCTGATAACGAATTAAAAGCCGTACAATGTGCGCTGTGGTGGCGGCTGCTTGCATTTCTTGTTGGTTTGCACGTTTCCCTTTGTAGATGAAGAGGTTTGGTGCAACAATCATAGAAACATTCCACAAATTCATTTTATTTTTTCCTTCATTAGCAACCACCTTCTTCAGGAACTGAAGAAAGGCCTAGAAAACCAACACTTGTTACGCTGAGTCTCACAAAATTCTTTACTTAGACAGGATTTTTTGAGTTTTCTTAAATGCAGCATTTTCAAATGCACATGTCTGGCTCAAAATCTGCTATATTTGCACTTGGAGGTGAAATTTAGGGGGGTTTGAATTCTAATTTGGATTACTCTGATATTTGCTGGCACAACCACCTATGTCAATCAGTTAATGTTATGAAAACACACATTAATGAATTATCTGTCACTTAGAGCATAATCCCAAATTTACAAGTCAAGTACAGCGTCTGCACTAAGGCTCCAAATCCTGTAGTAGGACAGAGACGGTACACTGGAATAGTTGATTTCTTCATAGATTTCAAGGTGCCCATTTTGATGTGTCTGGCCAAGGCTGTTTATATCACAGACACCAGAGTGATCAGCCTTGCTCCAAATGTGCATCAGTCCCATATGTGATATAATCTGAGGAAATTCTGAGGAATTCTGCCAGCAGAAACCAGGACAACCCCCAGATTTTTATTCTGGGATAATGAAAGCAAGAAAATCTCAGTGGTTGTTCGTTGATGTCACTTCTGCACATGCATGGCAGAGTCAAAGGAAATTAATTTCCCTTTTGGGCAGTTTATTCAGAATTTTTCTCAAGTGACTGAACAGAATGGACTGCAGCTGTGGCAGAGTTGGATTCTGACAATGGGTCCTTTTGCAACACCATACCATTAAAACCATTGTCTTTTTTACCCTAACATTGCAGTTAAAACATTTTTACAAACCCTGGAATTACAAAACAGAAACTGCTTAGAGAAATTTCTAAAATGTCATTATAGATAGCAAGTAGAGATGCATTCAGTTTCGTCATCACTTCTATATTCATATAAAAGCCTAGTAATAATGAAGATGACTCATCAAGCATGTGTTTTATGTACACAGCTCTATATTGATATGGAATGTGGTAGAACAAATAACCCCCATTCTTCACAGAGCAGTAGTAGACCTCCAAATGCTTTAAAAAAGGTTGTTCTTTTCACTTGTTCTTGAATAAATAAATGCAGGTAAAGAAGGCACCTGTCCTTATAAAGCTATATCTAAACTGACCAGTGGGAAACTTCCAGATGTGAGGGACCTGCAGGGTGCATGATGAGCAGTGAACCTGATTAAATGTCTGGGAGCTCCCAGGCATCTTGTTCACCCAGGTTTCCTTTATATGGAAACAAGTACAGATGCAAACAGTGTCTCTTAGGGTCAGGACATAGCTGCAGTCAGATCTGGGAGTTCCCTAGCCCCCAAAGTGCTTGTAACCACTGTCTGAATCCAGAAGGAGTACATGGGTGTGGGCATGGGTTTGCAAGGCAAACCAGCTGAGCCTGAGATCCTGACATCCATGCTATAAAAGTATGTTTCAGGGGTTTTCTCTTCGGCCTACCTCTTCTAGTGTGGTCCAGTGCCCTGGGAGCCCTTTCAGCACTGGGATTGTACTAGGTGAGCTCCTTGGGGGCAGCTTCTCATTTAGCTTCATTCTGGAAAGTTCCAGTTATACAGAAAACCCCAAACTGTACCTTCTTTTTCCAAACTATGTGAGGAGCATGCCTCTGAAACAGAAGCTCCAGAATAAATGATGCCTGGGAACCATTTACTGACACCAGCAGTTGTATACCTCCAGTAACTATTTCTTAATAGCTCATTAAAAAAAAGACAGCCAGGGAATTGGAACATTTTTTCAAGGAAATTATTAAAAACACAGATGAATACCTTCACAGTGCAGTGTCTGATAACTGACTGTTAGAAAAAAACCAAATCTCTCATTTAAAAGTCAAAAGCACACAGATGGCAGGTGATAGCAAATGAAGACCTTACCTTGGCTGTGTCTCTGTTGGCCTCAGGCAGCAGCATGATCAACAGATGCAAAGCTTGTAGCTGTAACTTGATCTTGGAGATTTCTAAGAATATGAATAATTACTATTTTTGAAATCCCAGTTACAATTCTTTTTTTCTAAAAACCTTGTTGGTCAGCAGTTCTAGAAACACAGCACCCATTGTCAGGTTGAGACTAGCATGTTTAAGTGTTGAGTAGCAAACTTTTTCCCAAGTATATTATAAAAAGCTAGTTAATGAGTGGGCTTTTTCCTCATCATCTTGGCTCTTTGTCACAGGGGGAGACAAGGCTCTATAAAATTCTGTCTAAATATCAAGGAGCCCATGTTTTTCAGTACTAGCCAGTTTCTCTTTGATATCATGATTAGAATATGTTCTGAATATGAATCAAGTATTTTCTCCCTTTCAAACCGAAATAGATTTTTTTTCTTCAGAAAATTTTCATGCTACTGTTATTGAGTAATATGCCGAATGCTTGTACCATTGGAGTGGAGATTGATTGCTTATAACTTAAAAAATATTTGTCCCGAGTCTAGCACTCTAGATAAATGTAGAGCCCCTTGTCAGTTACAAAACACCATCATGTTTTCAGCAGTTGGTATATACTGATACTGTGCAATGCTCACTAGAAGAACTGGGGTAGAGAAGATGGGAAGAATAACTCTGTTGCTTGTTTCTACTCAGGGTGGATGAGTTGGGTTTGGAGTGCAAGTTGTGGGCAGTGTATCTTTGTAGGGAATAAAGTTACTTCAGTCTGCGCAGACACCTCCTTTTGAATCTTCTACTCCAAACTGTTAAACAATCATAACTGCATGAAGTTTGGGACTCACAAGGAGCACATTTAGGTATGTGAAAGTTACAGAAAAGGGTCACCTCCTTGTGCCCCTTAAACTAATTCATGGAGACACTGAAAACTTGGCTGCAACCTTATGTAAAGGTCCTAAATTTTCTGTACCGATTTGCCTAATAAATTCACCATCTTGACAGTTTCTCTCTGTCCTAGCGTGAGTGAACATATAATGAAGTCAATAGGTACGACAAGGTATCACTGCATTCTTCCTGGAAGAGAAAGGGACAAAATGTACTGAGAATGAGAGGGTGTATGTACACTGAAAACAAAACTCGACTACCTAAAGCTTTCTGTGATCACACGTATTTTTGTACAAATAGTCTGACCTCAGCATAAACCTTAAGAGGAATAAAATAGATCTGATAGAGTATCAGCTAAAGAGCAGTGATCTGAGTTTACCTTGCAGAAATTTTCATTTGTGAAATCTGTAATTTGTGTGAATCAGTCTGTATATGAAAGTCGTTTCTCAGCCATCGTTTGCTCACAGGTTTCAAATCTTACATTAAGCAGTTGTGTCATTCATGGGACAAGTCTATGCTATTAGCTAAATGTAGAGACTTTTTTCCATTTGAAAAGGAAAGCCTGCAGAAAATTTAAATTTAGGTAATGCACTGGGCCTTTTTTCCCTCTGCTTCAGTGAGATAAAACATTACATGTTTTTTCTCTCTACTTCAGAGAGAGAAAAAAAAGTAATGTCAACTATTACATTCATATCAGTCCATACTAACTCCATTTCCACATACTTTCCACTAGTGTGATGAAAGCAGGCAGATATTCTACGGTGAAGAGCGGGCTTGGGAGTTCTCTTATAAACATTTTCAGCAGTCCTGCTGCATCATTATTTCGTACTTGGTCCCAGTCAAAAGTGTCTTCATAAAATTTTGCCTCAAGTTCTTGATGGAGATTCTGAAAGATAAAAAAACCATCTGATCTTTAGTCATTGCTTCTGACCCAGCAGTTTGAGATCATTTCAGATATCCTGTTACAAGCAACAGGCAGGTTTACACTGCAGTTAAATTAAAGTACCCCTAAACCAGTAGCGGTCTAGGAACAGTGGTGCGGAGGTCAGAACAGGTTAACAAATCAGATTCCCGGGGATATTTTGCAAGCCATTTTAAATTTGGTTTGTTATAGCTAGATTTCTGCCAGTGACCTATTTGAATCCTTTTAAAACAAGACAATTTCATTCAATGTCTTAGAACTATAAACAGAAAATTCAGTTAAACAGGAATTTTAGCACAGCTGTTCTGTTTAAAACACTTGCCAGAGGTTTTGACCCTTAAATCTAAAAGGAGTGGCATTTCTTCCTCACTGCCACTGAACTTGCTAGATAGATAGTCTGTTGGCATCTGAGTTCGTGGGCCTTGAACAAATGGCTTTAACTTCAGGTCTGACTGTCTTTAGAAGGTTGTTTTAGGATAGCTATAAATAGATTTGATCATTTTGGAGAAAAATAAAGGTGTCAAACCATTACTGTCAGAAAACCTCCACTTAATACATGCCAAAAAAAACCCTCAAAACCCACAAGAAATGATTATACCATTTTGGGTGTTCATTCAATCATCTTGTTCTACAGTGGCAGCATCTTGCACTGTAACAGAGGTCTGTTTAGTTCTGCAGGGTAACTAATCAATGTTTCATGCACATGTGTGAATGGGAAATAGTAAGGTTCCTCGTAGGAACAGAGTTTGGCTTCAAACTCAGATTACTGTTTTGGAGAATGCAAGCTCCTCAAAAATTTTTTAGGTAACAAATTGAAAAATAAGACTGAAATCAGGATATCCATAAATAATGCATCTTTCACAATTATTAGTGGCCAAACACTGCCTTATCCATAGGGACCATAGAGACCATTTATGACAAAATAAAGCTGTAGCAAATATTCAGGTTTCAGATCATCTTTTTGTCAAATGTACTTTAATATTACACAAAAAAAAAGTTTAGTCCATTCAGATAGAAAAGCTTTTAAAAATGAATTCTGTTTACAGCGTCTCACATGAATGGAAGGAAATTACATATCAGATCTGGTCACACATAATGAAGCGGAGTGGTTGGCACAAAAGGAAATAAAATGTCATTTAGGATTTGGTATATAATGCTACAATCTCATTTTTACTGGCACATTTTACTGTTTATAATCTGGAATATCTCAGCTTCCTCTGTATTCACATTCTTTGCACATAATCCATACAAACACCTGGATTAAATTCTCTCCTGGTAACTGACTGGAAAATGTGGAACAGAAATCCTCACCTCATCAAAAGCACAAGAGGACAGAAAAACTGCTCCACATTTTTCTGCTGAGAACTGGGAAAAAGATGTAGAAATAGAAACCAAGATTTTTGAAACATAAACATTTTATATATATATCTATATATCTATATATCTATATATATATATATATCCACACTGGCAAGCATATATGTATATTTTATACCCTCACCCCCTCCATATACATATATATATATATGCACCTAAGTACTTTTAAAAAAAGGGTTTGCCTTTTTTTTTTTTTTTTTAAAACATGACTGATCCTACAGTAGACTATCATACATTTTTGGTTCACTAGATCTTTCGTTACACACCAGATTACAACGGAAAACTTGTATTCATTTCTTGTATTCTTTGTTTTATAGAAAAGTAACCTTTAATCACTTCCATATGCCTTTTCTTTCTCCAAACAAGACTGAAATAAAATTGGAATGCCCTCAAATCCTAATGTCATAATAATGTATGAATGCTTTGAAGGATGAAATCTGGATCTGCTTTAAAAAAATCTCTCTCTGGCTGGTTGGCTTGTTGGACAGACTTAAATGAAGCCAAAACTTAAATAATTTAAAACTTTCATATGGGCAGTTTAATTTACCACCAAGTATAGGAGAATTACATATAGAGTCGTATCTCATACCCTGGATATAGGTTGTGAATGACAAGTGAACAAGACACAGTATAGTATATACAAAGAGTATGAAAGTAATTTAATTAGTTAGAGCACAGTCCTGCTGTGTAATCTCCCTGGAGAGGTTAGAAAAATTGAGATTGTGTGAAATAATACTTTAAGTATTTGTATGAAAAAATGAGAAAGCTAAAAAGTACAGGCTAAATTAGGAGCTCCCTCCCTTCTGCAAGATGTGGCACTTTGCAAGATGCTGAGTGCTTTTATCTATCCACAGAGTCAAAGGGAGCTGGGGATGCTACTGCCTATCTTCGGTGCATTTCACCTAATGCCACGTTTTCTTGTACAGTAATTTTTGATGATCCCCAGTCCATTGATCTTTAGCAATCCCCAGCATTTGTCTGGCTGCCATAATGTTGAGCCTTCTTGCCTCAGAAAGCAAGACTGGCTTTCTTGAGGATGAGAAGGTGGGATTGGGATGCACTAGAAGAAGTTGACTGAACTAGACAAAAAAAAACATAGAAAAAAGAAAAATCTGGGAAAGAGATAGATATTACTAAACCCAGAAAAAAAAAAAAAAAATTCTTTCTCTAATTTGCCTCTGCCAAAGGCTTCCACCTCCTGGAATCAAGTTAGTCTGGAGAAACAATTGCAGGCATTACTGCACCACAATGTCAGGTTTTTCGATACCAACAATACTGTGTTCATAGCCCGAAAATAGCCTGTGAAAACACAGTACTTGAGGCTGCCAAACTGTGAACACAGGCCAAATTTCTCTCACTTGGAACATGAAATTGTAAGATCACAGAAGATAAATGAGAAATAAAATGACATAGAGGTTAAAATGACATGGAATAAGATGTTTATCTGAAGTTTGCTCAGTTTAGCAAATCTGGATTTCTGAAATAAATTAAAACAGAGATAAGATCACAGCAATCTTGGACGACAGAGATGAACTAAAAGGATCCCTCAATGTTTCATGGAGAAAAACTGCATTCAGCATCAAGTCTGTGCTTTGTATAGAACATTAACAAATGCGAAGCAATAGACCACATGTTCTGTGATTTATTAGTTCCCAGGAACCAATCTGACCTTTCACTGGTAAGAACAGAAATGCTGAGCTACACACATCAGTATTTATGTGCACTGTGTGTGTTGTATTATTTTACATAAAGTTCAGGAGACAGAAAACTGGCATGAGCATGTACCTTGACTCTGGAGGCAGATCCAGGCACTCGTAGAATTCCTTCAGTTTCTAAACCTGTTTCCTCAAGCTTAAGCAGCAACTGAAAAAAAAAGAAACCAACAAAACCCAGGGAAATACTCATAAGCCCTTAAAAATACTTTTTTCAATCTAAGTATCCTTGAAACTAATTTGAAAAAGATCCATTTCTATGTAATTTGCTAATGAAAACAAGCCAGCTCATGTAAATAAACCTTCCTAATTTGTTCTCCTGATTCCTGACCCTGAAATACAGAGCATGCAGAGTACAGAAAACTGACAACATAATAGGCTGCTTTGTGCTTGATTTGAGAATTGGCAGTGCTATAGAACAATTAACATATAAAGGTATTAATAAAAGGGCAGATACACTGGGTGAAACACAATGATGTTTTGAGGGGTAATTAACCTCTGAGAAATGTTTACGTTTTTCTCCGAGAAGCACAATGGAAAGGTCTATAGATAACATATGTTTCTGGGAACTGAGAACTCAGATTAGAAAATGATCCCAGAATAATTTATTTTGAAATTTCTGTGAATAGAAGAATAGACTTTCCACTCTAATTCTTTACAAAAAAATAATTATGTTTTAATTTAACACAATTTAAAATAAGAAAAAAAAATCCTAGCATTTATTTATACAGCTCTGGATTTTCTTCAACAGATCTGCTTCCCTCCCTAGCTGTTGGATCCTTCTAATTTCCCATGGTATCTTGACAGGGGAGCTGTGGAGCTGATTGCAAAGTCATGTAAATATTCAAGTCATGTCAATCTGTCCCCTGACACTCCACACCACTTCCCCTTTTGTCAGTATTTACAGGGAAATTGAAACTTTCAGGTCCATATAAACATGTGTAATTGCATGTGTGCTTGTGTCTGTGTACCTGTTTCCAAGACATCTGCTGGATGTCATTGTACTGTCAAATGACCTATATAAATGATGTTGTCTTGTCATACAAACCTCAATGAGAAGATACCACTTCCATTCTGAAAATAATAGCAGTTTGAATACATGTGAAATTAAAACTCCTGAGACAACTCATCTCTGACACGTCTTCATACACACATAATTTTGCATGACTTTAATGATAAAGGGAAACAGAAAGCCAGACATATGTTTCCCAAAGTTTCCTTTATGGTATCAGAGTTGCAAAAATTGAAAGAGGTCCCCACCACAGATAAAACACACAAAAGGAACAAATTTTGTCTCCTTGTCACAAGGTTTTCAAACCATAACATATAGATAGACAACCTGTAGACACCTTCAAGTCTGTAAAGCCTGAATCTTCTTTTATCTGACACTCTTCCGAGTGTCAATGAAAATGATGGAAAAGCAAATTTTGGTGGCTGAGTAGGCTGAGTAATACTCACTTTTTGAAAAATAAGGGGAACTTTTATTCCAGGAACCTTCTTTTGATCATTCTCCAGCAGTATGGTGAGAGGGACTCCAAAAAGACCATTTTCTTAAAAATAATAACAACAAATGTGAGAAAGAGGAAACAGCCTCACACGTGTCTCCTCTCAACCCTGAGCAGCACCCAGGTGGCCACCACGGGGCTGCCACAGCACAGTACCTCGTCCTCGCACCCTCTCTGTGCGGTTCCTCTTCAGCTCGACTCCCAGTGCATCATAGAAGGCTGTTAGCTCAATCAGGGAGAGGTAGCGGATCTTCTTCATGTCTTCAGGAGAGAGGTCTCCAACGTCTGTCAGTCCAAACCGGCTTTTCCGAACAATGAATTTCTACAGTAGAGATGGGTCACATCTTTATTTGTATGACATTTACAGGAAGTGAATTTTTGTTTTGAAAGAGATGCTGGTATATGATAGGAAGTCATTATTAGGGCAGATGGATAACACCAAAGAGTTGAACTGCAACTCTATGTTGACATAACTTGCATCTACCTGAAACATAAAACTGACCTTCTTGCTCAGCATGTTCCCTTAAAGTTTGACTGATAAGTGATGCTAGAGCAGAGGTATTAACCTCAGTGACTGTACTCCAGCTGGAACAAATGAGCTATGTGCTACTTCAACTTTTGCTCGATTTCATCAGGATGTAATATTTTGCTCTGCTTCTGCCTCCCCCAGAGCATCTCTGAATGCTGTTGAAGTGGCTGACATTTTATCATGGCTATGGTTGTATATCAATCATGTGTGTGTGCAATGAATCCATGCCTGCTTTGCATATTACTATTAATTTATGAGGTCTTATAGGAGACTTCAAACTAAAGATCTGAGGAAAAGCCCAGAAGCAAAATCACTTAGTCCTGATGCCAACCTGCCAATTTACTGGTACTTTTTATTACTCAAGAAGCATTCAGGCTTAGAAACAGGACTCCCAGCAGCTAAGAAATAATTTATTCAAGTATGCTTGAACTAATGATACTTAGTAATTAGGGGGCATGTGAAGATGTCTACATATTTTAGAAACTGCAGTGTCATGGAGCAGGGCCAAGAATGTTGTATCATGACAGAAGCATTTGTACAAATGTTGAAAAGAACAAATACCCATCAGTTTTTGACATAATTGTTAAACGTAATAACAAAGTTATAGTAAAAAACATGCTTTTCAAAGAACTGTGGATCTTTGGTATTGTATGCTTTTTTAAAATGTAACTGTAATTTAAACCAGTAATTGTTAGTTGGAGGTACAAATAAATAACATTACAACTCGTCTCCTCTCTTTAGGGAATTGAGTGGAAACCCAGCCTTTAATAATGTTTTGATTCTGGAGATTTCAGCCCAGTCCTCCCTTTTTTAAAAAAAATACGGATTTAATAGGTTTAACTCTTCTTTACATGAAGCCAGTCAAACAGATTAAGAAAAAAGCAAACAAAATAAGAATTAAATTTACACCAGATTTCAAAAGTAAGAGAGGACAAAGGACATCTAGATCATGTAGGTTAGGACTTCCTAAATCATACCGCACATTGTCTTTTAATAAAGGTTAATCACAATTGGGGAAAAAAAGAGTGTAGGGGACAGAATAACTAATTTACGTGCTGTCTGGGGCATTTTAGGCCAGAATCTTCCCTCGCCAGAGTGCAGCGCTTCCACTGTTACTCTTACACCGAGACTTAGTAATGTAACAAAAGCTACATGTCTTCTGAAGACATATAAAAAGACTCAAGAATATCTATGCATTTTGGTTCTTGTGATGCAAAAAGTCCAAAAGCAGTCAAAGCACAATAAGTCATCTTGAAAATAAGAACATCACACAGTGCACACATATTTTCTGAGGGGAATGAGAAAAAGTATGTTTGCCAAGAAAAAATGACAAACACTCCAAAACTGATTACAAAGGATGGCTACAATGATTTGCCACATTGTCTGGTTGACTCCTAGGGTCACTATGTGATGCAATGTTAACACAAGGTTTGGGGCTGGGCATCTTTCTTCTGCCTTGTGTCACAATTTTCTGGCGATTTTTCTTACAAACAGTAGAGTCACAGTACACAGCACTGAAGCAGGCTGTGCTATCCTGAAATTAGATTACCAGAGTTTTGCCTAAGGTTTATGTCTAACATTGTGTGACACGTTGTTTCTGTGTGGAACTATACAATATATTAAGATGGGCCTGTAACACTTACTGACTCTTAGTTCTGTAATACCTTCAACTAAGTCACTTCAATCATGGTCCCACACTGGGGAAGTTACATGTAACCCATGTACAGACGGTGATGCTGAGTTGGCTCTTCTGGGAGCTGCAGAGGACATGCTATTTTATCATATATAATCTCTCTCTGTGCTGCTCACTATAAGCCATCGATGAATTTGGTTGTATTATTGTGTCAGACCTGCCCTGGAGAGAGTACGATGTTGCGTAGACTTCATTCTGGACCTGCTAGCCCACCTAGAGGAAGGAGGGACAGTCTTTCAGAGTGTAGGTGACTGGTCCCTCTGTGTAACAGAGCAAGAGGTGATTGTTCTGCTGGGGCCCACTAAAATATGAGCCATTATGGGAAAAAACCAATATCATGAGAGGCAGCATGTGAAGTAAGAATGTTAATGTCAACAGCTACAATTGTTGACTTTATTCAGAAACTATCTGTCTGCGGTGACCTGGCATACGTCTTGTGTACTCTTCCGAGCACACAAAATTATGTTCTGCATGTAGAATAGTTCATCTTCAACGCAGTACTGGCCTTTTCTAAAACTATTCAATTATTCATTCACAGGTCCATGATATTCAATGTGACATCTTTTCCCTGTGTGTCACCAGTTTCACCTTTTTCCACTCTCTATCAACTGGAAATTGTCTGAACTGTTGCAGAGAACAATTTGTGTGTGTGTGTGTGTGTGTGCATGCATGCATGTGTGTTTCAGTGAAGGCTGGGATCCTAGGTTTGCTACTACAAGGAACAAGGATTAAACCTATGGTTTGCCAAAATCATCATGAATGCAGAAATATCCTTACTCTCCACAGGACATCAAGTCAGTCCCACCACAAAAAAAAAAAAAAAAAACAGAAACACTACAGCACAGGGATTTCACACCAGTTGTAATCTACTTGGTGTCTTATCCCTCCTTTCAAAATGGAAGCTTACTTCTGCATCTCAGGTTCTTCTTCCTTGGTGGTGCCTGAGATGGACAAATGGATATTTCTCAGAGAATTTAATGTCTGTGTGGATAGTAACAATTCCGGATTAGTTCAGGACCTGAGGACATCATAACATTCAGGAAATGCTTCCGAATAATTTACAGCTATTTCATACATTTCACTAAAAGGTGGCATCTGAAGTACAGATTTAATGCTCCAGTTTTCAGTACTGGAAGTTTGAGAGCTGATGGAAATAGAAAACTGACTTCCTTGACTTCAAGAAATGATTCCAGATAATGACACTACTGCTCAGTTTATGTCTGGCTGAATGATATGACACGATAAACTTTCCTTTAACTATTCATGTAATACTTTCCATAGCGTAATTGCACCGAATACTGATTGGAGATGATGGGTACTGCTGCAGAAATAAGGCTTTCTTTCCTTCTTTCATTTGTGGAGCAGTTTTAAATCCATATGTTAACAAAGGCAGATAATCTGAGTGGAATAAAGTCAGAAAGCAGACCAGTAATGAAAATGATTGGTAGTTTTAGTGCCAGTAACTGGTCTTTATTTCTATATGAAAAAATGTGTGGATGATGCAATATTTGTGGACAGAGTTCCACATATTAATTTGTGATGGTTACAAGTAAAAACCAGGCTTCGATATCCAGATTAGCTTTGGTGCCTCTCTGGGAATCAGTCACAAGCAGTAGGCAGGCACAGCGGGAGGTCTCTATAAAGCACACATCACAGAAGACAGCTAATGTATCTTAACAGACTCCAATGTGCTGGGAATATAAAGCAAGAAATTACTGCATTCAAGAAAACAATTGAGGAAATATGCTGAGAGCAAACTTACAGGCAAAGCAGAGTCTTCCTTTTTGAACCTCTGGTTTTTCGGCCATTCTTGGGTTTTTGGAAAGATCGCAATGGATTCTGAGAAAGAGACCTCATAGGAGAGCTCTTCTGTTATGGATGGGCTGCCTTTATCTAGTCCGCAGTCTAGACAGCTATTAGCTGAAAATAAGGGAAATTATATCTGAATGCTGAATGTATGCTTGCATTTAGTACAGAGACATTAAAAAATTGAACCAAGACGACAAAAATTCTGGAGAAAGTAATAAAGGAAGTGCTTCAAAGAGGAATTTCAGTGTAAACCACAGCATGTTCCTGTTTTGTCTAGAGGAAATAACCCCTCAGAAATAAAATTCCTATTTTCGTTTTAGATTATTTAACTTGTTGCTTTTCGTGAGAAAGATAGTCAAGCTGGAACTTCCTGTTTATCAGGAATTATCTAGGTTTTGTACTCCGTCCTTGTCTACTCAGGCCAGCAAACTGTGGTGGCACTTGTCTAATGAACAATTAAAAATAAAAGTTCCTGACAGAAAAATGCCGTTGACACAGTTTTTCAGATGACTGTTGACTTTTTCACAGTCATAATACACTGCATATATTTTACGTGCTCACATACATATATTTCTCACAGTTGCTAGTTTAGGTGTGTAGCAATGTACAGGACGCAATGTACAATCTTCCAGTTTGAAAAACACTATATCTACTGGAATTTCTGCTAGATATTGTGAAATTACTTATTGCTCTACTCTAACATTTAGTTGCCTCCTGAAAGTGGATGCCAGAGGAAAATGTTTGAAACCAGTACAATCAAGTACAGAAATACCCTATTGTCATGGAGTCCAAAGTGTGATAACAAGCATGAGTTCCAGTGTTGCCAGCTTTCATGACTGATCTCTCACATATCAGGAGGTGGGAATTTTTAGGTTTCCCTTAAGGTCCAGCTCCTTTGCTCATGTAATTGGAACAAAATCATAAATTTCACTGAAAGTGAAATAAAATTTCAGCCCCCAGGACTGCAGAGAAGAGTTTACTAACATGACCCAAGTGCATTCAAAAGCCATGGAAATCAGAAAGTGAATTAAAAAGCATTACATGTTTTATAAACATGTGCACGCCCCATGATTTTTGAATCAGTGCATTTACAGATACAGGGACTTAAGCATTTTTTTACACCACCATTTGTTTTGTAAGTCTGGTATGAAAAAGCTAAGTGTGTTATTAAGTGGCTTCTGCCTTCTGAACTGTGGCCTTAGATGTCACCTAATGGCCAAGCCATTTAAGATGTTTTCCATCTCTCTTTCCACCCTTGGGCCTGGGACCACAGACTGTCCATGGTACCCTGGGCCATTTGGTTCCCCATCTGTTCTCGTACAACTGCTTGCAGAGCAGAGGTATCAGCAGAGCAGCTTTATGTGAAATGTCTGTGTCACTATATCCAGAGATAAACATCTAAGGGACTAGTTTAGAAACTCAGGTATTAATATCCCTTTAGCTAAGCCCTGAACAATGGTGATGGGAAGAGCTTTCAAAATAAAAGATGGACATTCCTGTGGAAGGTTGCTGACAGTTATCCCGACACCGAGTAGAGCAGAGCTATCATGTTCATTAGCACTGCCAGTCACTGTCAGAGCAAAGTGTTTAAGGTATGTCCAAAATAGCACCATTAGTAGATCAGAATAACAGGAGAGAACCAGAAAAATAATAAATTTCTAATAGTACAGTTTCTGCAGTACTGGAGAAGAAATGTGAAGGAAATTTGTATCTTTCTTGTCATGATTTGCAACAAGAAAACACACTGCTGACGTATTTTGGACAAATTCTGCACCATGTTGTTTAGAGGTTATTTTTACTTTCCCAGCCTTGCAATGATCAGTACTTTTTAGACACTGATGCCTCAAGGGCAGCAGTCTGTGCTGTACAACACTGGTCTTGAATGGGAAACTTTGGTTCCTGCATGACAATAAGCCAACAACGATTTTTAAGGAAATATATGCAGCACAGCCCCAGTGTGAAAGAGGGCACTAACCTCTGAACCACAAAAGGATCTTTCTGTCTATCATTTTCCTAGGAGGAAGTGAACACTGGTTACATGTTGGCATACTCACAGCTAACTGATTTCCAAACTGGCTTCTGCCCAGGAAGCTGGATACCATTAGAAGGAACTGGTGACACTGGAACTGTCTCAAATGTGGGCTGATAGGCAAGGAAAAATGATCAGACTGCAGTGAAGGTAAACGTCTATGGACAGAAACTGCTAAAGTTCAAGCAACAGCGCATCATTCTCAGCTTACACTCTTTTGCCAAGTTTAAACAACCTGTTGTGATTTGCCAGAGTACATTTTTCATAGCCAAGCCTGAGAATTAATATTCCCCAGGCTGCACAGATTTGGATCATGTTGAGGTCAGTAATATTGCAGCTCGCTGTAGCTAATGAGTCCTGTCCTATATAATGACTGAAATTAGCTAAGTAAATTGCTGTACATAATTGCACTTAGTGAAAGGTCTTCATCGAATTGTAATCCATCCTACTTCTAATCATTTTGGCCACAAATCTTTTTGGGGACTCTCTGACACATGTTGAATACGCACTGTGCCCAGACACCTGCCAGAAATCAGGCTGTTCACCACCTTTCGGGATTTAGGCACCGGCAAATTATTAATGGACGAATGTCCTCCCATAGGTTACGTACTAGCACTTTATCAGTGAACTGCAAAAACGGTTTTAGGGAAAAAAAGATGTTTTCTATCATTAAATTCATTTCCTTCTGCTCCAGAAATCATTCTGTACTGTGTGAAAATGGGGGAAGTGTGTTTGTGTGGCACAGCAGAGAAGGGGCTTGGATTCGGAGGCCAGGGGGTGGCTTTCAAGCACTGTCACCTCTTCTTGGCAGCGGAGTCTTACCCTTGTTCTCAGCAGTTTTGGGACTCATAAAGCCAAATCTGAGTGTGTGTATATGGGGTAGTAGCAGCTCATCTGCATATTCTTGGTTAAAAAGTAAAAGGTCAGGAATTTAAAAAATGCTCTGAGTAGTACTCAGTGAAAATAACTACAATGTCCCAAACCAGCCTTGCATTTTTTCTGCTGTCCTCTGCATCCTGGTGGGAGGTCTTGGAGCCCCCTCCCATTCTCAAACCTGCTGCCTCAGCCCCCAAGCCTGGTGGAGCAGTCCCAGCTTTCCAGCTGAACCTGCAGCTGAAGGCCCCAATAAGCACACAACAACAACTCCTTAAAATACTCTTTAAATTACTTAATCGGCTGTTCATCAACAAGCAGCAATGCCTCAGGCCATAGATTTTGTCTTCCCCATCTGTAGCCAATACACAGGAGCAGCATTCAGGCTGTTAAAAAATGTCAGCTTTTTAAAAGACGGGCAGCTCTTCCAATTGGAAGCCTGAATCAAGTGTTGCAGTTTTTTTATTCAGTCATCCTCTGAGCGATTTGGGTAACAAAACTAAATACAACATGAATAAAATCTCTCCTGAGAGGGTCCATTCAATGGCTTGCAAACTTGATAGCAAACAGGATTTGAGTCACATGGATTTCCTTTGCCAGAAGACTGTAAGGACCATTGATTTTTTTAAAAAAGGAGAACTGTTAGGATGCTTTTATGATAAAATACCGTAACATTTACACAAAGGGTTTTAGAACATAAAAAAGCATTATAAATTTCAGGTGGCAGCATGGAGGTGGAGGGGATAGTTGAATTTGCCTCATCAATGTGGGAAAAATCCAACAGAAAAGTAGTTATTCTACTGCTTAAGATCCAGATGGAGAAATTCATGGTAGACATTAACAGCTGGCTCATCTACTTTTACTGCTCAAAATGTCTAACTCTGAGAATAATATTCAGAATAGATTTACAGTGAACGAAGTTTATTAAGAAAAAAAATCCTTCCAGCCTTATTACACAGGTGAATTTACTAGTGAAGCAGCTGCAGTAGCCAGTTTGGCTAAGCATGGTGGAGCTGGCAGAGGGGACCTGGCAGCACAGCTCTACTTCATGCCTAGCAGTGCTTGCAACAGGCTGCTTTACCTTGTGGTAATTGAATAATGTGAACCATGTACAATATGAGGGGTAGCTAAAAATGTCATGTTTTTGGTGTCAACTCCCAGCCTCCACAATAAGAGTGCATAAAAAGCCAAATCTATGTCTCTCTTGTGAAAATCTCTTCCAAACAAGACCAACACCTCCACCTTTTTTTTTTTTTTTTTTTTTATTAGGATAATATGATAAAAAGAAAGGGAAGACTGAGAATAAAACATTTTAAATTCATGAATTTTAAAGATCTGGAATATTTCTTTATTAAAAAAAAGATTAAAAAACTGTGGAGGCTCGTGTCTTAATTAATGTGAAAGGCCAAGAGTCAAACTGTGTCCTTAACTAAGTCAGGACAGCTTTATTCATTTGACTGGGGCTTCAGGGAAGGCAAGACTTCTCATATCCTGATTTCTGACTGAAAGTAATTCATGAGACAGTTCTCATTATCTGATACTAAAAATGAACCCAGTGTTTACTGACATACTGACACGATGTACACAGGAATTTCCAATGGGAAGAGGAAATCAGAAATGCAAGAAAAAGATGGAGATGAGGTAGATAGGTTTTTAGTAGCTATCCTCATTGTAGAAAATACAAAAACAAATAATTGGAGGACCAAAACAATAAAATTTTATTGTCAACTCTGCAGCTAAGGGAAATAAAGGCAAAAGAGGATAGTCTTATAGCTCTGGTCAGGATACAAGTTGCCCATGATTTGGATATATTCATATTTCCAGGCACTGTCATCACAAGTGCCTTTTCATTCAAATAGCTCTGGGTTAATCTGTGATTATTCTTTAATTTGGACATGATTTTCTTATGCATTGCTTAAGTAAAATGCTCCTAAAACTCCTGAGGAGTTTTAGCTGTTCATAAAGTACAGGCTTGGGCTGTTAGTGAGAATAATGCTTCATTTCCTCCCTCCAATAACAAAATCAATGTTCCACCCCTATTTTTATTCTGCTGCTGATTTTTCTAGGCTTTGGGCACTATCAGAGCTGACAGCTTCTGATGGAAGCAGCGGGGTACCAGCAGTAAGGAAAATCAGGGCAGTGTGATTAATAAACCATCCAATTTAAATCTCAATAACATGGCTGTCAGTTGAGCCTGCTGTATGTAGGCCTGTCTGAAGCAGAGCAGAGGCACCTCAGCTGGGGCTGGCTGCTCTGCCAAGGCAACACCCTCAGAGGGGTCAGGTACCACAGGGCCTGCGTTTTGCCCCCAGGGATCATGGCACCTTTCCAGGGTGGGCAACAGGAAAAGAAACTAAACACCACCAAACAAAAAAAAAAAGGAAATATGGCTTCATTTCCTTTCATTTCAGTCCACTTGGACTGTTGAGGGAACACTCTCTGAGGGGGTGAACCTCAAAGGCAGGATGATGGAAAAGCACCCTTTGCTCTGTGTTGACCCTTACAGAGGCTAGCCACCAGGCAGCAATAGCAAAATGTCTAGCAGGAAGATTTATTTCAGACTAGAAAGAAGAAATTAAGACAAACCTCTCCCTCTCTTTCCCTTCACACCACCATCCCCTCCTCTGCTCTGGATAACAACTATGCCTCTTCAGTGGTCCCCTAAATCTCATCTCAGGTGACTCTAGTGAGCTAATCACCTTTTCTTTCATCATTAGCCACAGAAAAGAGTAATCCATCCTGTGACCTATCCCTCTAGGCTCCTTGTAATGCTTAGGTTGTTGGGAAGAAGGTGTAAATCCATCCTCCTAATGGGGAGGATTATAGAGTTATGTGAAACAGTTATAGCTGTTTTGCTATTTGCAACACGTGTATTTCTTTCCTTCCCAACTAAAAAGCAGGGTGGGAAAGCAAAACTCCAGCACGTCATTTCAAGCAGTCTTTTTACCAGTCTCTCTTCAGCAGCTGTGCTGAAAAGATTTACCCCTCCCTGTCCCGCTGCTCTTCTTTTTTTTGGCTGGGTTGTTTTTAATGCAGATCACTTTCCCAAACAGATTTATCACAAAGATTCACCGGCAGCTGTAGTGCCCTGCCCAAAGAGGCAGCAGAGCATGGGGGACTGTTTAAGCTGACACCCCCTGACAAAGGACTGCTCAGAAACCCACAGGTCGGGGCACAAACCCCCTTGAAGTGTGTTTATCCCTGAGGAGCTGATAATTAGGACAAAGTTTCTAAATCCCTTAATAAGCAGCAGAGATAAAAGCAATGGTGAATGGGAATGGCAGGAGGGCATTGGGAACCTTGGGGGCTTTTAGAAATATGATCTGTTTTGCAGTCCATTGGAGGGAGGTGATGGTGTGCTCTGCAGCTGTGTTTGTGTTTAACATTTAGGTAAGTACCCTGCAGAACTGCATATTTTTGTGGGAAGAAGAATTAGAAGTTTTAATTACTTATTCGGTCTGGTCTTCTCTTTCAGACTTTCACAATGAGGAACTAGTAAGTGAACTGAATTTCAGAGGAGGTAAGATAGTGATTTGAGGGGTAATGGCTCGGAAGCTCCTGATTCCTTTAGCAAGTGAGAAACAGAGTTGAAACGTAAGCAGGTCAAAATCAGATCAATAATGTGCCCATCTGAGAGAATGGGTACAACATTTATTTGGCTGATTTATTAGGAAACTTAAGGTTTATTATAATATTTGAAAATTTTAAACACATTAATATTTACAGATACCTGAATCAAGAGAAGTGTGCTAATCCAATAAGAAGTGCCATCAGCTTTTTAATGTTCATGCAAACATGCCTGATGATTTCTCATGCAAGACACTCTGCCCACAGGAAACTACTGGATGCTTTTGGATATATTTGTGTGATATGTGCAAGAGGTTCAAAAAAGACCAGATACTTAAATTGGAGACAAATAAGTTAACTCCCCAACCACTATATCTTTGTAATTTTAATATAACTATGCAACTACAATTTTATTTCTAATTTTTTTGTTTGTTTTAAATTAATCCAGGATGACAATCCTTGAGGAGAAGGTAGGACAAATAGAAAACCACAAAGCAATTGCATAAAGAAAGAGTTTCATGGAGTTTTTTAATGGCAAGAACTTTACTATTTTTTCAAAGGTGGACTTGTGAGCTTATTGGCAACTCCCATTTAAGCTATCATGAGTGACATATGTAAAGTCATGCGTGTTGCTTTAAGCATTGAACTAAACTCACACAGTTGACTGCATTCACCAAAATCAAAATGTGTAGGGATAGGAATCAGTTCATTTAGAGCTATCCTCAGGGAAAAGTGGATGAAATCACCAGAGGTAATGCTCATTTCTGAAGCCACGAAGCAAATGAACAGATAATAGCTTTTCATTTGCTACGTAAGTGAAATGTAACTGCCAGTGTACCAGTTGTGATCATGCCGACAGGTGCTTAATTGCTTATGCATATTTGAACCCCAGTTGCTTCATTAGAGAAGTTTTACTTCACTGCTGAGACTGCTGAATAAATAGCAAGTGTCCCCATAAGCCAGCAAAAATTTGAATAGCTGCCAAGAGTAACTCACCGATTTCCAAAAAATAAAGGAGTAAATGTTAGTCTTGATAGGAGATTGGAAGAGGAAGGCTGGCAACAAATACAACATTGTTACGTGTTAGTTGCAAAACTGCACGATTCATTTTAATTGGTTTATTCCTTTCCTCTCAAAAATACAGCATTAAAAGTCTGGACTTGGCATTAGTAACTGCTACTGGCTGTCTGTACACTGTCAGCAGAAAAAGGTTCCTGTCTGGTAGAAGCTTTGATGAGCTACTTGCAAAATGCATAAAAATTAAGCTTAAAAGCATTTGCTAGGATGCATTAGCTACTTACAGAAGAGTCATTAGTGCCAAAGATATCTCGCACATCCCGGACTGTATGCTTGTTCTTCTTCCTCAGGGTCTGAGTGTAGGTGTTGTACCGCTTCTGTACGGCAGCAGCTTGGGTTCGGGTCAGAGTGGACAGCAGGGCTTGGCCATCCTCCTCTTCGGCTCCAGAGATCAATGTAGATAAACCTACATCTTGTAGCCATTCTGCCTCCAGCTCCCCTTCTGCAGAGGAAGACAGAGTGGTAATACTTGGCAAGAGATGGAGCAGGGGCTGAAGGAAGGGAAGTGGCATGGTGGACTGCTTCCTTAGCCTTTACCTCAAGAAGACTCCACTTCCAATCTTTCTTAGGCCACAAGTGTAACTTAAATTAGTTTTGTCAACATACTGTCAACTTTCAGTTTGGCAGAGTCTGCACAGGAAACACTTAGGAGAAGAACAGAAGAGGCATTTTTAACCTGCGTATCAACATACTTGTGTGAAGCAGGCAGTGGAGTAACTAGCCTGAGATAACAAAGTCACTAAAAACTAACCCCTCATTCAAGACCATAAATCCCCTCAATTACCATTTATACCACATTGTACTGGATAAAGACATTTGGCAGGTGGAAATTACACTGGTATTCCCACTAAAATAAAAATACTGAAGTGATGTATACAATAGAATAATGTATTTTCACACTAAGGATGATATTTGAGATGACAGAATCAGCTGGTAATCAGACAGACACCTGGTGAAGATGCCACACTGAGAGAAACTTGATGTTCACCTGGTGCAATAGGCTGTTTTGAATAAGCTGATTAAGAGCTGCTCACTAAAGAGCAAGGGTCAGGTAGGGGTAGGTATAAAAGAGGCCAGATAGGGGTGGAAGATGAAAAAATAGCTATCCTTACATGTTAGGTATCATACTGATTTCTAATAATTAAAGACTGGATAGCACTCTACACCGCAGCATTAGTGATGAATATTTTCTGGAATACTGTTCAATATCTTCTTCTCAACTGATTCAAAAGGACAACTGGTTCTGTAGTGATATTATGCACTCTGTGAAAAAGCGTTTCGGTTCCTGGCTCTATTGGACATGAGGGAAGCTTCTGGCACCTTCTCACAGAGCCACACCTGCAGAACTGCTTCCCCCCCCCAATCTTGCCATGCAAGGCTGATACAGGGGTTCCAGCTACCTGTTACAATGAATGAAATATCCCCTGCCACTCTAGAACAGGGAGAAGCTCCAAATCTATTTCTGCTAAATCATTTAGTAATTTTTAATTTTGCTGTCATTGTTTTTGTATTTGTCTGCTTTTTAAAGTAAACAGTCACAGCCTTTTAAAATCTGTCTTCACATAAGGAGATTTTGAGGGCCTGCCTTTTAGTTCTGAGAACAATTCTAGCTCAGCAGTATGTTGCTTGAAACAAGACATTAATTGCATTCTGGTTATGACTGAAGGAGAGGTATTACAAATAAACGTGTCAAACAGGAAATGGGTTAATTTGCAGCGTGTTCTATAAAACAACTAGTCAGTGCACTGATTGTTCTTGTCCCAGCACTGGTCTTAATGGCAGGTTGGTATTTTCAGTCTTCCTTTATTGCCTTTTCTTGACATCAGCTTGCAGGCAGATTGACAGATACCAGTTTGTTGAACTTTGGCACTTACATGCACAAAAATGAAAATTACAGGACTGGACCATAGGGACAAGCGAAAGCATATTACACATGTGCAATCACTGACTTCATTGTTAATTGTCTTGTTTCTTCACAAAGCTCTGCAAAAGTATCTGCTTCTAAAATCCCTTATCTGTACTAGATGGGGGTGTGACCAGCCCTATATCCCATAAATCAGGTTATCTCAGCTCCAATCCTTTCTGTGTCCACAGACAGGATAACAGGCTGTTCCTTTCCCTTCTTTGTAAGCTTTGAACCAGTGGTTCTCTGCCATCCTCAATCTTCTCTCTAACAAGGTCTCTTTAATTTCTGTGTGCCACCATTCTAGCCACATCCATTCATGTTTCTGTTTCTTAATTATATTCATTTTGGCTTTTGTCCTGACATATTCTTTCCAATAATTTAGTTTTTAATCAAACTTGGCTTTCTTGATGCTATGAAAAAATAGTAGAGCAGACATGAAATTCTGCCTGCTTACCAGCCACCCCTGTGACTTGTTTTCTCTGGCTTTTGCCCTTTCCTGTTCCAACCACTGACAAACAATAGACTGAGAAATAATGACAACAACCAGAGGAGTAAAACTATTAAAGAGAAGGAACTTCTGCATTAAAAAAACCCTCAAAATTTTATGACACATAGGTTTAAATAAGGGCTAAAAGAGAAACATGTTGTTTTACAAAACATTATTTTTGTAGTGATAGCTACTTATACAGCAGGGTCTTGATATTCGGTTTGATTCTGTGCCACCAGAAGACAAACAGCTAATCAAGAGTGTTCCCTCCGGTTGGTAATTCTCTTTTTCTCATAGAGATTGTTAGGAAAGAGGTGAGCCTGTACCTTTCTTTGAATTTCAGATATAACCTCAAATAACTTGCAGCATCCCAGCCTTGTGACACCAAGTTTTAAAGCCGTTCTGCACATCACTGCCATCTCAAATATCCCATGACTTCCTCTTCCCCTACATTTTTATCCCTTGTATCACTTGTTATGATCGTCTGTTCTTTCTTGACTATAGTTACTAATGTCAACAGAATAAGTGTGCTGATGTCTTCCCCTTGCACATGTGGTTTGGCAAAAAAAAAGCATTGTGGTTTTGACAATATCAGTGGTGCCTGGCTGCTATCACCCCTTGGCTTCCTTCTTAAGGATTCTGCATCTCTTTCTCTCAAAGACATCTCAGAAAGGTGATGAATATTTGTTTTTATTTTGCCCTGGAGACTTCCACATTGATTTTTCAGTGTTTTGATCATCGGCAAGGAGTATTATCCTATTAGGAGCTTAATAGAACTCACTATTATTTCCAAGATTTATAATCCCAGACTAAATATATTCCTGAAGTTAATAACTAGGACAAGCACTGCCTGGTTGTGTGTGGGTGTATGCAATATATATGTGTTTAAAACAACAGTATTAAGGTAAATGAAGTGTGAAAAATGTATTGTATTTTAGCTTGCAGTCTCATATTTAATTCAGGACAGAGAGGAAAAAATCAATGCAATGTAATGAGGTGTAATCAGACAAAGGGTAACATGAGGCTGCTGCAGCGTTTGCACTGTTGTGAAGATTTAGCTCAGCAGTGATGAAACTCATGGAAAAGTTTCTGAGAACAGGGAAAATGGGTTCCTGTAATTACCTTGTCCTACTAACTTACCCAGCTTGGTAACTCACAGATATCTGATATTCCTTGACTGTGCAGGCAAGTCAGGGACACTCAGTTCATGCTGACAATTGCATGAAAGAGACACTGAGAGGTTAACAAGCTCTTTCTGGAGCAGCCAAGCTAGAAACCATGATCAGACAGGAGTTTTCCCAATACAGTCTAACTGATTGACCAGATTGCTTTTCTGCCTTCCCATAACAATAACCATAAAGTTCCAATGTTACACCTTGATCTATTTTTATTTGAGACTACAGGCCAGCACAAAGAAGTGCAGTTTGGATTCAAGCTGCCAGACCATAACCCTCACAGCAAATCGAAATTTCTGGTGAACAGAGGTCTTCTTTTGCTTCCAGGAGAGCCCTACTGGGAACTAGTGAGGTGCTCTTCATGGAAGTAGTACCTGGTTGGAGCTAGATACCTCTGTGTGGGTTACTTATCATGACTGATTACATATTTGGTTGCTTAATAAAGTAGTACTTTTTCCTCCTTTTCCCCCTTTTTCCTGGTAGCAGAGTTAATGACATCCCATTGCACGTCAAAGTAAGAAAAATACATCGTCACGCGTGTTAATAATTTTATGGAAAGAACACAGCATTGTTTCAAAATCTATCCCCAGATCAGCAGTTACCAGCCTAGTGGCCATGATCCACAAAAGGGTCGCAGCAGTTATCAGTGGGTCATGACCTCAAAAGAAATTTGGTTTCATCCTATAGTAACACCTGGTATTTTGTGTTGCACAATATAATGCATTTGTAAGTGGGGTCATAACTGGAAAAAATGAGAACTGCTGTTCTAGATGTTATCAAATCCTCTAACACAAAGTTGCATTGCAACAAGCTAGTGCAGTCTATTACATGTTTTTCCAAATACATTATGAAAAAGGAGAGGAGGAAACAGAGTAAAAGAATGAGGTAGTAATATCTTCAGCATAATTTGTATAAATGATGGATGAATTGTGACAACTGGAGTCGGAATGGTGCAGCATCCATATTCAGATTTAACTAATCTCTCCTTGAATGTATCTAAATTGGGCAATCTCAGAGAAACAGTTACCAAATTACCAATAGCACCAAACAGTATCTAACAAAAACTGCTTCAAGACTTTTATAACTTCTACATTATACCCTACCAAAAGCCAGAAAATTAAAAATTCCAGTATATTAAATGAACATTTTGGTCCTTTTATATGTTTTGTTTTAATTTATTTAATGCTGGAGATGCACTTTTCACGTAGTACCTCTCTTTTCCGAATTACACGATGCCTGCCCTCCTGAAGCACAAATAAAATCAGTGCAAAAAACCCCTTAATTCAGAAGTAAATCACTAGCCCCATTGTATAAACCAGACCAAATTATTGTTTCTTTCCAGTGATGGCTCGTACACTGACTATGATGATCAGAAGTGGAGCTACAACGATCACGGACCCAGACTAGTACTTTTGCTCATACTGGGTGACACGAGAAGGGAAATCAGGACATGATTAAAGAGATGAGGTGAAGACAAGGTATGAGGAAAAAGTTGTGTTTGTGTGCTCACCATCAGCAGGTTTGAACTCTAAGAGTGTTGCTTCTTCAGATCCATCTTCACTGCTCTCCTTGATGCTCTCCACTTCGCACCAGAAGTCCTCCATGGAGGTGCTGTCCATGGAGGCCTGTGAGTTGGAGCGACCGAATGCAGGAGGAGGTGCCGACTCGTTGGAAAGCATCCTGTTAATTCTTCGACAACGAGGGAGAGACTTTCTGAAAAGAGATAGCGATGAAAATAAAAATATCTTTCTATCATGTTAACATTTACCATGCAGACGGAGGACACAGCTTCAACTCTGACCGTACCATGGAGCGGGGAACAAGATGTTGGGAGGCAAAGTATTCAGTTTTGGTTTTCATGATCTCTTGCTCGTAACAGTTATGGCTGGAAATTTATTTTGTATCTAATAATTTATCTCTTTAATGTCCTTTAGTGTTTTATACCACGAGACACTGGAAAAGTATTTTAACTTCTTTGTGCCTCAGTTTCTCTTTCTACACCTTCCTCTTTTGCTTACTGACTGAAATGTTTCAGTACAAACTTCTTTGGGGAAAAATAATCAGACTTGGGAACACTGAAATATTTTGCAAATTTATCTTGGCTCCAGAAAAGAATTAAAAACTTGAAATATTTTGCTTCAGAAGAACAATTACCTTTTATTTGAAAACCCTTTAAAAAACAATTCATTTTTCTTAAAATAAAAGAAATCTTAAGAAAATTTGTCTTTGAAATGAAATACTATGTTTTAGGCCAAACAGAAGGTTTTGATCACAGGTTCAAAAAAATTATGATTCACTAAAAAACACATTTCAAGTTACAATTTAATACAATTTGATTGAATCAAAACAAAAAAGTTTGTTCCTTACTCCTTTGTTCTTGTCTTTTCCCACTATAAATTCTTGCAGCTGAAGACAGTTATACAAGTTTATTCAAATTCTTATAAAACACCCACCATGAAAGTCTTGTCTGGCTTTGCTCTTTTGCATTATTATGGGTAAGCAGCTTTTGTAAGTGTAATTACAGTAGTTACAGTAAACAGTAATAATAACCACAACAATATTTGTAGAAAGGAGTCAGGAGGTAACGTAATTATGGCAGAGAGCTAGACTACAGGAATTAATAGAAAATTTTGTCATAAGGTCTTCTGGCCTTCACTTATCTGAATTAATTCAAATGCAGTTTCCCTTTCTCTTCCTTTTCTTTGTAGCATCATCCTGCCAACAAGCCTTTGTTTAAAACCGCAGGCATCACTTTTACTCCACTGAGAAAAAAAAAAAAAAAGATACTTCCTTTTCAGTATTTCCCTCCTTGTCAAAGTTTTTGTAATGGATGTATAAACAGTATATTATTTAATAAACCTGACTGGATGTGCTTCTCCCACTCTGCTCTGCTACCTCTGAGATGTCTTCTGGCTGCTTCCCTGAGGCTCCTGGAGCCTCCTTGCTTCATCTGGGTGGTCCCAGACAAGCCCTTCTGGGTTAGGTCTGAGCCCCAGGTTGGGGAGCTGTGGTGGAAACAATAAGGCACAACAAATCCAGCTGTGGACAATATCAGTGCTTTAAAAAGACACAGCTCAGGCCTTTGCCTCTTTTTGAACACAGGGAGGGGTAATATGGATGATTTGGCTGCCAAACCTACCCGTGTGTTCTTGGTCAGCTGCTAGGAAGCAAAGTTTTCTGATAGGTAACAATATTTCAGCAGAAGAAAATGTGATGTGGTGCTGTGGAGACACATGTCCTCCAGGAAGAAAAATGCTATCTTCAGTGTTTCTATCCTTTTTTTTTTTTTTTCTCATAAAAAATGATTGTTTGCCTTTAAACCCAGTGCTGAAACTGTTACTGTTTTAATTAGAACAAGCCACAGTCACCAAATCTGAAAAGAATTTGTGACAAAACTGTGGTTAAAGCTATCTGAGTGCTTTCCACGTAGCTCTCCCTCTGGGGAGATGTGTTTCAGTTGGCTTTTGTTTGCAAAGTCTCAGATGGCTGAGGTACCTGATAAATCATAATTACTGGAATTATGTATCTGGATGTGTTGGCCTCTGTTGTTTTATGTATTCACCTATTTCACTTCCCAGCATCAGCGAGGAAAAAAAAAAAAAAAAGCAAGTCTGACAGGACTTAAATATCATGAGTTAATACTGTACCAAGTATCCCCGGGCAGTTTTCATCAGCAGGAGCAGAACCCCTGAGAAGCAGCCAGAAAACCTCATCTCTCCGGCTGGGAGCTGGTGGGGACAGGGAAAACAGTTCCCACAGGCCAATTGCTTACTGCTCTGAAAAGCTGTGCTCTTTTGTTTGAAAGGTGATAGTGAACACAAGGAAAAAGGCAAAACTTCCTGACACTCTAATGGCATTTGGGGCCCCTTCACCCTGGGCACTGTAGAAGCAGAGAGATGCCAAGGCCTGCTGTCAGGCATGCAGTGGGTGCTCATCCTCCTGCCACAGCCTGTCCCTCACCAGCCTTCTCTTTATCGCAGGGATCTGTCTGAGATCTCCATGCTGTTGCCCACTCTGCAATTCATATCCCTGCTTAGTATAAAGCTTTGTGAAAAATAAGTCCCTACATCTAGTATATAGCACAGCCCAGAGCTCCCACACAGCAATCATAGGAAGGAATGCTCTTGACAGTCTGGAATCAAACACGTGCTGGGATGAGAAGAGGACTTTTTCCCTGATAGCGTCACCAGCTCCCATCGTTTAGTCATGGTCAGGGAATTTAAATATTTTCTGCCCTCCCAATGTGAATCTTGACCATGACCCTCATGCCCTTCATGCACCACATCAGACTGATCCTTGGGCTTTGGCTCCATCAGCACTTCAGCTAGCTCAAACCAAGGCTTTTTATTTCACCATATTAGGAAGAAAGAGGTTTAGCGGGTTGTTTCTTTTCTCCCCACAGTGAGTATGCTATTTTGTAATATTACCATACCAAAAAGCTAAATGCAAAACAGACCCTGTAGCATGGCAACAACTGCTGTGACAACCAGCTTTACCAAATACGTCTAAGGTTCCTGGGTAATTAATGTGCATTTACAACAATATTAACAGTACGGAGCTTGTTTGAAAAAAGCAGCTGAACAAAGTCTCCTGAGAACCTCATATATGAGGTTTATTATCTCATCTCAGATTAAATCAAGCTGTGTGAAATTCCTGTAATAAGAAAGGTTAGGCAGAGGTGCTTTATCCTTTGCTTTATCCTTATTGGTAAACAGCTGAAGGTTGCTTCCAGGTGGTCTGGTATGAACCTTCTGCAATTATTCTGAGCTTGCCTATTAAAAGCTCACATGTTTGAAAAGACCTCCAGCTGCTGTTTTGACCCATATACCTGTGGCTTTTGTCCTGGAGGAAGTGGTCTTGCTTTTATGTGATAATGGCTGTTGTCTCCATTTCCTCCAGTCAAAGCTGCTCAAAACAGTTTCAGGAAAAAAAAAAATCCTGCTGAGGAAGTAAAGCATATTCTTCACTGATTTTAATTCATTCTTGAAGTACACTGAATGAGCACTGACTCAGCAAGCTGCGTGCCTGTCTCAGAAATAGCTCAACAAGTCCAGTTTGCCTGTCATCTGTGAACTCTCCTAGCAGAAAACTTGTGTTCCTGATACCTTTTTTACCCTCAAGGTTTTCTGGTTTGTTTGCTCTTTTTCTCAGTATCTGCAGAGAAGTTTACAAGAACAAAATATTTTCACTGAGTCTAATCTTTTGTTCTTACAGAAAATTTGAAACCCTATCTTGTTAGGTAAGTAGTAATCATGAAGATCATGCTCAGTTTCATTTGTTCCTTCACACACATGGGTGGTGGTGAGCTAATCTGAAAGGCTGACTAAATGAAACACAGGAGGAATCTGAGATTCTGGCTTCCTAGATGGAAAATTCTGGGAGAGAAGGATGAACCTTAAAGCAGCGAGCAATAATTGCAGTGACTCCACTGAACAAGTTGAAATTGTTTTCAGGGTGGAATTAAAAAAAAAAAAAAAAAAAAAAAAAAAAAAAAAAAAAAGGCCATACAGACACAAATCCAAACCATTGAAAAACAAATGAAAAATAAAGAAGGAAAAAGTATACTACAACATGCAATATTATCAAAGAACACCTCTATTACTGGATATTGGTCACAGAAGAAAGAGTTAAAGAGTGCCAGTAAGGAGAAATAAGATGATACCACATAGAAAGCTTTCTGTGGGAAGAGTTTTGCAAAGAAGCGGGATGTTTCCATGGGGCACTAGGAGGCTGATTCAACTATGTTTGACTCTGGTTTTGCCCTGGTGTATGTTTATAATGCTGATGAAATGCAATAGCAAACCAGGCCTACTAAACCTATATTTTATATTCTGTATATCGTGCAGAAGTGTGCTGTTCAGGGTCTGACAGCACACATCAGTTTTAGGATAGCCAAGCCAAATTCAATTCTTATTCTATACCCAAAGTGAAGGTTTGTCAAATCACACAAAGAACCGGTTCAGTGACACCTAATGATTGCTCGGTCTGACTAATGATAAAGCCAAGCTTGTGTTTTCAGTTTAATTAAGTAATGGTGGTAAAGAATCCATAAAACAAATGGGAGCAATAAAGCTATCCTGTAGTTACAACTAACATTTAATCCTTGTTTAAGGAGATCATCTTACTTTTGTGGCTCATTATTCTTCATTTCATTCAGCAGGTCCTGAACCTGCTTCACAACAATTAAGTCACATTTATAGGAATGGGGAAGATGAAGGAAGCAAATTCTCTTGGTCATTTTATGAGTAAGATCCACCTTATCATATTGCAGTCATTCTATCAGTATAGCTACTTAATCCGGTGAAGTTAGTAGTGCCTGAAAAATACAACAGTGGCAGAGTACCATGTTGCTTCCTGTACCCAGATCTTTTTATCCTTCAGTTTATCATAATGATTCACCAACTTCTGACAAAAAAACAGTTACCCTTTCTCTGCTCTGCTCTTTCAAAGTGTAAAAAAAGGGGATGATGAATTGATAAGGAAAAAAAAATTATTCCTCTTTATCAAGAATTGCATTTTTCTCTCTTCTGAAATGTTAGGAATCAGTCATGTGCCAATATTTTATTTTTTTTTAAATGTGTACAAATTCCAGGCAAGGGAAGAGTCCAGCAATTGGAAATAACATTTCTGTGCACAGTTCATGGCATAGTTCACTCTTGTCCCTAATCTCTCATCTTCTGTTTCCTTCCTGGTGACCCTATTCCAGCACTATT